GGCGGGCGCCTCCCCGGCCGCCTGCGTGCTTCCCGGGGGGCGGCGCGCGGCCCATAAACGCGCTGGGGAAGCCCTTCCCGCGCAGCCCTCGGGTGCGCTTTTGTGGAGCGGATCGGTCGCCGTTGTAAGTCAGTGACGGTAAGGAGGTGTGTGACGCTTGCCTGTACAGCTCGGAGGACGAAGTGGACGTGCTCCTGCACGGCACCCCCGACCAGAAGCGGAAGCTGCTCCGCGAGTGCCTCACGGGAGAAAGCGAGTCTTCCAGCGAGGATGAGTTCCAGAAGGAGATGGAGGCGGAGCTCAGCACCACCATGAGGACTATGGAAGGCAAATGGAAGGAGTTAGAAACGGGTAAGTGCGCTCTGACATCTGCCTGCCTGCGAGATGGTGAGTGAAGTGGTGCCCGCTTGAGTTAATGTGTTATTCTGTGCATGGGAATGGCAGTTAAGCGCTGTCTAAAATCATGAAAAGTCTGTTCACTTGTGCACAAGTGAGCACTGGGTACTAGTTAAGGGAATGCGTTTATTCTTGGCCTTACTGAGCTCCTGATTTTCTCTCTTTGTGACAGATTTTTCTGTGGTTTCTCTTTGTTGGATCAATAAGTTTTCTCCAGTGTCTGTAATGCTTGTTTTTATCATCCACATACATAATTGCAAGTCTAAGCAGGTTGAGGTCTCTTGTACTTTCTCTGTTCAGTGGCTACTTATGCTGTCAGGATTTGGAGCCCTTTCTTGAAGACAGGAAGAGCATACTGTGGAATTCCAAAATCATTTGGGGAGAAAAATAGGGAAGATTTTAATCTTTCTCCCTCACCTGCAGATAGTTACAAGCTTTATCAAACAGTGCAGTGGCACTGTATGTTTTACTGTGGTGGATTGTGAGAGTAGTAGATTGCTTGCTTTGGCATTCAAAGAGCTTTTTTTTTCACCCATTATAAAGTAGCAAATTCTCCAGATTTCTTGAGAATCAGGAAATTATGGGTTTAGTAGAACAGTTTTGATTTCAGTATAGGATTTTTATTCTGCATTAAGCAGAATAGTTTGAATGCAATTAAGAAGATGTAGCCACCTTTAGACCATTAAATGCATCCACAATGAAATATATTTTTGGTGCAAACTGACAGTGTCTGATGTGTTTGGCAATTGGCCTAGTGCATTTTTGGAATTTTGTGGTCCTGAAATGCTTTTTTTTGTGCAAATTTTGTTTTCATCAAAGTTTGTGAGACAGCATGGGAGGGAGTAAGCTGCTTTGTTTTGAGAGAGCACCTGTAAATGAAGTAACATGTGCAGTGTGGATGATCAGGGCTAGGGGATAAGTTGTAGACCTGTTACTTAACAAACCCATATAAAGCAGAACACTCTTGAGTAAAGTGACTTGGAAATGGCGGCTGGTTCTGGACCATACGTACTGCTATCCCTGTGTGGGATGTTTTTACTACTTTTCTCTAATTTTACACACAGGTACCTCTTCAAGTACTGGACAGTCTGACCTTGCCACTACTTCAAAATACTACGATGATGTTTACTTTGATTCTGATTCAGAGGATGAAGATAAAACAGGTAAATGCTTGAGGAGAGAGGAAGACATGTTGACAGGAGCACCATCTCAGACCCGTAGAATCCATTGGGGGACTGGGGACAGTTCATGAGGAACATTTGTACGGGGAATTTCCAGGCTCTGTCATCTCAACATCACTACTGCAGCTTTATAGTATATTATTCCAATGTATTAATTCTTTGGGTTGTTGCCTCTGAGGAGTGGTGAGCTAGACCTTTATGTTTTAGTTCAGATTTATTGCATGATCAGAAAAGGAAGACTGAAGAAAACCAGATTTTAGTTAGGTAAGTAGAGAATAATGGTATGTGTGATGGGTGCTGATGTTGCTGACCTGAGCTTGCATAAATCTTGCAGTGACACAGGATGCCCGGAAAAGAAGGAAACAGCAGCAGCACCGATTTCTTTCCAATGATGAACTGCTGTATGACCCAGAGGAAGACAGTCGAGACCAAGAGTGGGTAGACTCCCAAAGGAGAGGGTAAGGAACTATGAATATTTGAACTGCAAGATGCACATCATAACGGGGGGAAAAAAAGAGAATATGCTGAATGTAAAGAAAAAGCTTGTTGTAGAGCCTGTATGGTAAAAATAGCTTTGATTTGGAATTTGGAATCTGCAACATAGGAAATTTTAATGACTGAAAAAATGGTTTATGTATGTAATGTACATAATGAATCTGTCTTTCAAAATGACACAATTCCAAAATTTTCAATTTCTTGAAATTGAAATTTCCTAATAAGCCATTTTTATTTTAGTTCTCATCAAAATAGCTGTGCTATGTATGAAAAGTTTAAAGATTTGCTAACTCCATTTTTAATACCATATGATAATGTCATTGCTATGTTAATACCGACTTCTGCTAAATACTGCATTTCTAGCTGGAAAGTTGTATTTCCTAGAATTTAGACCCAAAGCATTCAGACCAACCAGGAACAGCACAAAGCAACTTTACTTGAGGTCTTCTTGAGAGGTTGAGGAGAAAATTAACATTCTTAGGGTGTTGCAGATGAAGTAAAATTCTCCACACAAATCTGTGGAAGAGAGCAAAATATATTTATCAGCTACTGAGATTGCACTTGAAAAGTCTTTCTTCTCAAAACAGAGGATTATTAAGCCTAAATCCGCACTTCAGATGTGTATGTCCTACAAAGTGAGAATCCTGTGTACAAAGTAAATGCAAAAATTATGATGTTTTTTGATCACATGCTCTGGATTAGTAAAAAAGTTGACTAGCAGCAGTCAAACACTTGTTGATGTATTTTAATATAAATAGGATTTGGCAGTTGAGTTGATAGGCCCAACAGCAACAGCAGATAGTTACCCTTGTTGCCTCTCTTGCCTCCCTCCTCCAAATGGTAGGTACCGGAATCAGAGACGAGTGCAGCAACAGCAGCAAAAGCCTCGAGCGGTTCCAAATAGCGATGCGGTCCTGAATTGCCCTGCTTGCATGACAACGTTGTGCCTGGACTGTCAAAGGTAACTAGGGAGCAATAAGGAGGCTTTTTGTAACGGCTTTTTTCTTTTTTTCTTTCCTTTTCAGTCTGTCGTATTTTTAGTGTATCCAGTGATTTGCTCAACTCTCTAGGGAGATAGAGCTAGTCAAAAAGGAGGCAGGTGTATGTGAATCAGATTTAGGCTTGCATAGTAGTTTGGAAGATTAATGATCAGTTTAACCTGCAACATGGAGATGAGTCGAAGAGCAGGACAGAATATCAGGCTAGTAGGGAAGGTGAAACATAAAAGAGCCCTTTCGTGTAGACTACCTGGGAAGTTCAGGCTCAATTTGTTTCTGGAAAAATACATTGGCTTGGTTTATTTAATGAAGAATTTAAGATATAAAAAGTGTTCAGATGCATGAAGTTATTCCAGGATAACTGGTATTTTTGTGTAAAGGTGCCTTGTTTAGATGAGTTAGGCAAAAGCAAAACAGTGTGTTCTTTTTTGAATGTAAGCAAATGTGGTTTGGAGTATAGCTGTGTTACTGAGTTTCTGGAATGAATTTAGGTGTGAATTCACAGCTGTCAAGTATCTGCTGCAGGTGTGCTCCTAACTTGCGTGAGATAGAGGACTTGTGATTAAAAAAAAAGAAAAGGAGAAAGAAGCCCTGTGAAATGAGGAATAACCTACCTCTCGGTTACTGAGTACTTCTGGTAATTCAAGATAAAATTCCAGAGTAACCTAAACTTATCTAAATGCTGGGTCCTATTTCCTCCTTCTTCCCTTTTGCTTCTGTGGTACTCCCATAATTAATTGTTTTTTGGGGAGCTTAGTAAGTTGAAAAGGCTCCCCAGTGCTACAGAAGCAGCAGGGCCAGCAAAAGTCAAGATAGGACTGGCTAGGATGGCCGCCTGTTATCTTGGTTGAATCTGTTGCAAAAAGGCAGTCTGAGGGAAATTATTTTATTACTGCATACCCTACCTGCTTTTTACAGCTGTTACAACGATGGCAGCTGAAAATACATTTTAAATTCTACTATAGACATGTGTTGTTTTTTTTCTTATTTAGTGTTATGTGTCAATGATTGTTGTTTCTAAATAAGAAATTTCCAGCATACAGGAAGTTTTGACATGTAAATACTGCTGTTTGCAAGGTTTGCACTCACAGCTTCATGATCTTTTGCCTATCAGCAGCAATAAATAGCCATATGTAATGCTGTAATGGTAATGTCATTGTGCTCCAGGGATGCTTGCTTCAGTAAGAACCAATGTATTTTTAAGTATCTTACCTTAGAAAAAAAGACAGATAGCAACAGTTCTCTTTTTTTACTTCGTAGTGCTTTTTTTGTGTGTGTGTGTGTGTGTGTGTGTGTGTGTGTGTGTGTGTGAGAGACTTTTTATTTGTTTGGCCTGCAGCCCTTTGGCATAGTACTTTCTATCTTTAATCCCATTTCCAGTGATGATTATGAAGCAACTTCTTGGAAGCAGTTTTTATCTGTGGTATGACTTGCATTTTCTTCCCTTCTTCCTAGGCACGAATCCTACAAAACACAATATAGAGCCATGTTTGTCATGAACTGCTCTGTGAACAAAGAGGAGATTCTGAAATACAGAAAGAAGGTAAATAAAAGAAACAAGAAAATGAAGCACAGCAAAGAGACTACCTCTATGCAGACAAATCAAGAGGAGGAGGAAATATATCATCCAGTAATGTGTACTGAATGTGCAACTGAAGTGGCAGTGATGGATAAAGATGAAGTTTTTCACTTCTTCAACGTTCTAGCCAGTCACTGTTAATGTGCAAAACCACTGAGGACAAAACCCTGTGCAATTTAAGACTTTGTGAAGTCTCAGAAATTCAGACCTGTGACCCTTTATATCTACTGCCCTTTAAAATACATCTTTCCATCAGAGAACTTTGTTGTAAAGCTTTTGCAACATTTTATGAAAGGAATCCAGTTAACTGTTTCAACTGGGGAGAAGAGTTCCTTCAAACCATTGGTGGCTGTGTCATTGAAGATGGAAATTTTTGTAAATAGAACATAGTATCTGTATATTATGATTGTTGCTGTGTATATACTATACATTATCTCCATATGTATTGGAACAGCTGCTTCGAATAAATAGTGTACAAACTGGTTCTTCATATCTGCATTGGTCATTTGTACAGTGCTGATAAACTTAGCTAGCAGTTTTCAGGCAGGATGTTTGGCGTCTTTCAGGTTGACATTCTTGACTGTTTGCATGAAGGTAGGTCTGCTAATGGAGAAATCGTTTGGATTTTTGGCCCATTAAGATGTCAAAAGGGGACATTTTTATTTATGCAAATTGGAAGATTGGGTTATATCTAATTTGCTTCTGATGTGAATCATTTAAATCAACATACTGACATTTAATAATACGATCCATAATTAAGTTGGTAGTATAAATGGGAAATTACATAAAATATCTGCTTTTTTTGTTAATTGGTATTGTGATACACATTTTAAGAAATTCGTGGTCAGTTATATGGCTATAGAGCTAAGTTTGGGGTTTTTTTGTTGTTTGCTTAATAAATTTGCTGCTTCTTTATGGAAGCATGAATACCTTCAATTCTCTGATATTCAGACTTCTTGTCTAGTCAATCTATGAAGACACTGTAATGTTAATATCATATTCTTCCTTCTGTTCTTCAAGGCAGGCTGCAAAGAAGTGAACTCTTGTTTTTGATTAATAAGTAACATCTTTGTAGCCAGGTACAGCACTTCATTTTGTACAAGAGTCTGTTGGGAAAAAGATTCTCATCTTTTTGTTTTTTTTTCTTTCAACAGTACCATAAATAATTTGGTATATGTGCTTTGAGGAGTTGTCAGAAATGTTTGATCTTAAGAAATCTAAGGAAGATACCCTTGTATGTGCCTTAGATCATAATAAAATCCTCTGACTCTTTGATTATCTTTTGTTGTCCCTGGTGCTGTCTTACTGGTCCGTAAGCACTGGTTTCATAGTGTTGCATGCCAAAGAAAGAGGGGAAAAAAGATACATATTTTGTCATGACAGGAAAGGAGAGTTAGGCACCCATAGAGCCGACAGTATTGACTTCATAGGATCATCCAGTTTTTACAGTAGATGTGCCTGGGATTAATGTGAAAGAAGCTGTGATTTAAAAAAAAAAAAAATCCCAATGTTAACTTTTCCTATGC